TTTCAGACACTAAAATAGAAGTTGCAAGAGGCGCCTGTACTCGGTATATACAGCCCTCATGACGAGACGGAACTCCACACAGATGCCAGTTCGCACGGTTTTGGCGCTGCGCTTATGCAAAGAAAAAAACATGAAGTTTCACCCAGTTTTGTACTTCTCCAAAAGGACAACGGATACTGAAAGCCGTTATCACAGTTTCGAATTGGAAACACTTGCAGTCATTTACGCGCTGCGTCGTTTTCGTATCTATTTGCACGGCATCAAATTTAAGATTGTCACAGACTGTACATCATTGAGAATGACTTTAGATGAGAAAGAGATAAATCCGCGAATAGAGAGGTGGGCGATCGAACTTATGCAATATGATTATGTTCTAGAGCACAGAGCCGGCGCTAAAATGCAACACGTAAACGCTCTTAGTCGCGCCACGAATATCCTTTTGATTGATGGATATTCGTGGCGCGACTAAGAGCGTTTACGGTGTTCAAGCGGTGAGCGTTCAAGGTGCCCTTGATTGAGGACAACCCACTCGAATTAGAGTTAGCATTAAGTCAGAGTCGCGATCCCAAAATTCGAAGACTACGGGAAAAACTCGAGAAAACGCAAGATAAACAGTACGAGATGCGAAATAGACTCGTGTACAAAAAGAAAGATAACGATTTAAGGTTTTACATGCCGGAAAAAATGGAGGGTCATATATTATTCAAGTATCATGATGAACTGGGTCATTTTGGCCCGGAGAAGACGTACAGTGTTATAGACAAGACCTGGTTTTCGCAAATGCGCACTAAGATTAAAAATCATATTCGAAACTGTTTGAAGTGCATTGCGTTCTCACCATGCATAGGTAAGTCAGAGGGATTTCTGCATTGTATACCTAAAGGTAACATACCTTTTCAGACATTTCACATCGACCACATGGGACCCATAGACAGAAAACACTTGATAAAGTAACATATCCTGATAGTTGTTGATGCATTTACGAAATATACGAAACTGTATGCTACAAAGACGACGGCTGCAAGAGAGTCAATTGAGAGCTTGAGGCAACATTTCGCGAATTATAGTCGCCCCCATACGATAGTGAGTGATAGAGGAACCAGTTTCACCTCAAACGAGTTCGAGGAATTTCTCAAGGAAAATAACGTTCGACACGTACTGATAGCCACAGTTTCTCCGAAAGCAAATGGGCAGGTCGAGCGCATTAATCGCATACTGGGTCCACTCCTCGCCAAAATAGTCGACAATACCATCGTGAAATATTGGTATAAAGTACTGACAGAAGCAGAGTTCGCAATTAACAATACGATGAACAAGTCTATCGGAGATATTCCAAATCGTTTGTTATTCGGAATAAATCAACGAGGTCCGAGCATCGACGGAATTAAAGAGTACAATTCGAAACAATTCGTGAGAAAGCTGAAAAAAATAATCTCAAGAGTCAAGAGTATAATCAGCGTTATTTTGATAAGAGCAGGAAAAAAGCACATCAGTATAAAGAAGGCGATTACGTGGGAATAAAAAACTTTGATAATATCCCTGGTGCGCCAAAGAAACTCATTCCCGAGTTTAAGGGACCCTACGAGATAGCCAAAGTTCTTCGAAATGATATGTAGTCAGGAATGTGGAGAATTCCCAATCATCGCGGTGCCCCTACGAAGGAACGTGGAAAGTCAACAATATCCGACCCTCTCAAAACAAAATCGCCTAGTTAGCATTACGCGTCAAAAACTAAAACTTAGCAGATAAGAAAATAGTTTTAAGAATATTTTGTAACCCACCGTTGTATTCTCACTACTTTGTAATAATAATTGTGTCCGAGAATGGACAGAGTGGTCAGGAAGGGCCGAACTGTGAGACAAACTGAAACAGTTGATTTGAATCGCGCGCCGATGGCACCACAGAGAGCATGTACTAGAATGAGCAGAGTAGGTTCAAGAGGGCAGCAGTGTCGCTAGTCTAGTCTTTTTTCGCTAGTCTACGGGGAAACCACTGATCTATATATCTGGATTGCTGATAGGCCTCCTGGCAATATACTCAATTGAAGGTCCGCCATTTTACACGCCCGAGGTGCGCGATACCGCTTAATAAACTTTTTAACAGTTTTTTAACTTTTAACTTTCTTTTTAACTTTGTAACAGCTGCACACGAAAAGGAAGATCCAATTATAGTAACATTCTCTATATTTGCAAATATTTTATTTATAAGACCCACAAAAAATGATTAAGAAATTGTAAATATTAAAAAATAATCCAAAATTCTTTAAATCACGACAAGTTGATTATATTATCGCAATTAAAACGTATGATAGTAACCTTTATTGAATGAATAAAAAATTATTGTCTTATTAAACATAAAATCTTGTAATATTTTGGTTTATTTTATGATCTATTTCACCGTTTAATCCTGATTTTTTAAATCAATAACAGCAAAAATGTTATGTAAATGTAAGTTTCAGTTACAGTCTTACATAGACCGTGGTTTTAAGTTTAGTCAAACTCATTTGAGTTTCCCACGCTCGGAGGCAAATTGCCGGGTAAGATGGTGGCGTCCATTTGGGGACGCTTTTGAGTCCTAAGAACAAAGGCGATCGGCAATCCAGATATATAGATCAGTGGGGGAAACGTGCAATGAGAGCGTAGGGTGCGAACCATAGACACAGTATATCTAGATCGAGCGTTTGCCTTTATTTAAGAAGTGGGGGTAAAGATGCACGTAGAAAAGGACATACTCTGTTTCGTGCCCCTTGCGTTTTCTCTCGCTCGCACGTAGCATAGCGTACTCTTTCGCTATGCTACATGTGAGTGAGAGAGAACGCAAGGAGCACGGAACAGAGTATGTCCTTTTCTACGTGCACCTTGGACCTCACTCCTCAACACTCGATCTAGATATACTATGTCTATGGTGCGAACCCATACAAATAGCGTAACGCGGAACGAAAGCGGAACCAATCGCGAGCGTTCCGCAATTTCATTTCGTTTTCAGTAGTTTCTAGCGGAATAGGTTTCGCAGATCGCGTAATGTACATACACATCTATACATATACACATGGTAATAAAAGCTAACTTCAAAATTTTCATTTATCTCTCAAAAATGAGTAATAACTTGTAATAATTAATAATTTATCTCTGTTTCTGTACTGACCACATTGCTCTACGCTGCCAATTTAACAAAGTATATGTGTACATACATACGTTCCGTCATTTTCGTTACGTGGATTTTAAGTCCCTACATCCCCATGAAGCGGAATAAGCGCAAGCAGAATGAACAGAACGATTCTAAAATGACTTTTAAATATTGTTTTTATCGGTCGTTTTTTATTATTATGTATATAAATATTGAAATGAATGCGTTCTTATTGGAAATATGGATTAAAAATGTTAAATAAGTTAAATAAGTTTCAACGTGATTTTAACCCTTTTGAAATAATGACTCGTGATTGGTTGCGCATTGGTCCGCGGTGCGCTCGTTACGCTTCATGGGGATGTAGAGACTTGGGCCGATATTACCCAGCAAACACAGATACATAACTGTAACATTGCCATAATAAAACGGAATGTAACAAGTAATATAACGTATTTGTTACATGTAACATTCACGTTAGTTGTAATTTCCCACTCATACAAAATTGCAGTTATATAACATGAATATAACATGTTACTAAAATGTTATATGATTGTTACAGTCATGTAATAGTCCACCCAAGTATCAAACTGACGTCACAATGACAGTAAATTTTGATCACAAGATGACCAATTAAATATCCTAAGTTAGGTCTCATGAGACCCGAAAATGTCTCGTCGATATGTCACATCCACGAGACGTCATTTTCTGACGTTTGTTTGACGGCAAAACTAAGACCAATTACAGTAATAATATAACACATATTAATGTCTTTTTAAGCGCATTGATTAGCTAATTTCTAGAGACTCAAGAAAGTTTCTATTTTGCAGTCAACCAATATGCTTAAAAAGTTTGTCGTACGACAAATGTTATATCGGCCTTGGAATCCACGTTGCGAAAATTGCGGAACGCTCGCGATTGGTTCCGCTCTTGTTCCGCGTTACGCTATTCCGCTGCATGGGTTTGCACCCTCAGATTGTTGTTCGGCCGTGATTTGAATTCGGTTTAATAAAGTATACATCGATATTAACTGAGTCGGATTATCTCAAACCTTACATACACAAAAAAATGAGAAAGTTTCGTTTCAGTCATTTTTTACTTAACTCTCCAACAGGCCCAATAAGGCTTCAGAATCACTTTTCTCGGATGAAAGTCTTTACATTCAGTCCCAGGGTCACCTTGCAGTCACCATTTAACCTTTCGGTCTTACTTTGGGCCCGAAGCCCGTTTTGGGCCCAATAAGGCTCGGATAACTTTTTTTTGAATGGAAATCTTCATGTTCCTTTCTTGATTTACCTTACAACCATTTAAGCCCAATAAAAAAGTTTTCGGAACCTTATTGGGTCCAAAACGGACTTCGGCCCCAAAATAAGACCGAAAGGTTAAAGGATTACTGCAAGATGACCCGGGGACTGGATGTAAAGATTTTCATATATGTATATAGATTTTTCTTTTGAAAAATCAATTTTTCCTTAAACTTATGCATCTCTATTCATGTGTCTGGCTTAGGGTTACTGACCTGAATTTAAAAAAAATTGTTTTATACAAAATTACAGAATTATTTTGGATTATAATAGTATCGATATTGAAATAGAGTAAAATAGCACGCTATTCGTTTTCATAATGTAGAAGATTAAATACATATGGTTCAATTAACTTTGACTGCAAAAATACATAAGAAAGTACAAACATATTTCATTTATAAAAATGATTATTATGTTTTATTTTTATTAGTAAGTTTATTGTTTAGTAACATATTTCACGATGAATAGGACAGAAGAAAGACAGATTATAAGTTATAAACTATTTTCTATCAAATAATATGTAGTTTTCGAACTAATTTTCTATTCCTATACTTACATGCTTTGTCTACTTACTATTTTGTGGAAAGTAATAAGGAATGCAGCCGCATTTTTTTCTTGCAATACTAGCTCGACATTCTGCAAGGCAGTTGTGATATGAATATCTCGCGAAAGTTAAATTTCTCTCTTTGACATTTGCATATAGTATTTTGTCTGCTTCATCAGTAAATATGCATCTTCGTGTAGAAATCGCCAAATTCTTCACTTCAGGTTTTGAATACATTACTGCGGGATTAATACTCACGAAATGTTCACTATTTAATCGTACTAATTGAATTTCGGCATTAAAATCTGGATAATCGAACGAGTGATGTATCATGACCTACGACACACAATATGCACACAATAATACATATATTTATTAAACGTATAATTAAAATTTTGAAAAATAATGTAAAATTTAGATAGAATTATATTATACAAGATGAATCACTAAGGGTGTTATTAACAGGCTAATATTTCTGAAATTGAACGAGTATGTAAATTCTTATATACAGGATCCTATATAAAAAAACTCATGTAGACGCGTGAAATGAGCGTTTTGAGTCGATATGTATCGCACGTATTGTTGCCATTTTACCGCGTGTCTGATTGGCGGTCGATGATGCGTCGATGAGAGGTGTGAAGAATGTTTAAATGAAAAAGAATAAATGGCGCGCGCTTTAGAGTGTATTGGTAATGGATGTGGATGGCGCGCGCGTAGCGCGCTCTGCGTGCTAGTCTCCTATCTAAAAAAGGCATGTAAAGTCGATACTCGAAAGTCTCGAAGTGTATTGTTGTCGCTTTTCCGCGATGTTGATTGGTTCTGTCATTGCGCTTACTTCGTGAGCGGCTGTCATTGCATATTTTGACAGTTATTATTTTGTGTATATATCGTTAAAAATGTTTAATGAAAAAGAATAAATAGCGCGCGCGAAGCGCGCGTTGTGTTGTGCTAGTATAACTAAAATAAGGAGATAAACTTTGAGGGCGAGCTCCCCACATCAAAACATGAAAAAAGTTCATATCAACATATGTCCGCAAACCTACTGTTACTGAGATACAGCTCAAAATAACAGCTGTTTATAATTACCCCGACAGATGGATAGGTAGAGCAGGACCAATTGCATGGCCCCCATGATCCCCCGACCTCAATCCTTTAGATTTTTATCTGTGAGGAGACTTAAAGTCTTTAGTTTATGAAGTTCAAATCGACAACGAAGATATGCTACGCCAACGCATCTTTGCTGCTTGTGAAACCATTCGCAACCGCCCTGAGATTTTTGAAAGAGTGCGACGTTCCATGATCCAATGTGTCCATGCGTGTATTGAATCAAATGGGAGACACTTTGAACATTTGTTGCAATTAAAAATTGAAAATAAATAATAGTAAATATTACTTTCTCATTTTTCATTAATAAACATTTATTTGAGCTGTATCTTAGTAACAGTGGGTTTGCGGATATATGTTGATATGAACCTTTTTCATGTTTTGGTGTGGGGAGCTCGTCCCCGAAGCTTGTCGCCTTATTTTAGTTACACCCTGTAATAAATAAGCTGCTTCTTGATAAAATATTCTATTCATTTTTTTCCATTCCAGAATGCATAATTTGATTTTGTATACTAATATAGTTTTATTAGCTTTAATTGTTTGGGGTTTAATATTTCTGCTCAATCGTTGTAAATTTCTTTAAAAATAAAACCTAAAAAAAATTCCTTCAAAAATATTTCCAAAAAATGTATATACCATAGGCTCTAGTATAAATATAAAAAAGTATTCAAACCTATATACACAACAAAGAAAAGTTTAAAAAATAAAGAATTGTTAAACAATTGTTAAAAAATTAACTCTTCAAAAACAAATATTAGATCAATGAAGTTAACTAACAAGGGGCATGTCACAACTGTCCGGAACCGACTTGGTTCTCCTTGAAATATGTTGTTAAACACAAAAATCTAAGAGACACGTATTTTTTTATACGTGCCCATTTTCATGTGTAGGAGGTGGAACACCTCTTTGAAAAAAAATAGTGTTTTCCTTTGGGGTCGAATATCGTCGAAACTATAAGAGATAGAAAAAAATTATTAAACGAAAGTTTAACGATTTGGAGAGTACTTTAAAGTTACGAGAAAAAAATTTGTTTAGTTTTATTTTTTAATCAAAAGACCCCCACCACTAAAATTTTTTTTTCACTGTATTAATGATTTATATATATATATATAATCAGATTTTCTAAAAATTTAATAATTTTTAGAATACCCCCAGCTCTGTTATTATTTCTTTGATATTTAATTTCTTTTATGAATAAAGATTAAAGACAATTTTATTGCAAATTCATCCACTTATAATGAAATTATTTTTTAAAATTGGATCTTTAAGAAATGAACAAAAAAATCACTATGTGTTGCAGCGTTTGCGACTCTTCGCTCCGCGCGACACAAATGATATTTCTAGCATTATAGATTATAAAGAATATTAAGAGTTATGATAGTTTTTATTATTTCACCTTAAAGTTATTAAAACTTTTGTTTTTTATTCATCTCTGTATATATTATTTCTTTATAATATCTTAAGATTATTCTTTTATAACTATTTTCGTTCTTAAGCTCTTATTTCTTCGTAGAGTCACATCTTATATTCTTATGTTTAATGTTATAATTCATTTTAAAAATATTATACTTATTTCAAAAGTTCATTGGATTGCTCAACAATGTCACCTTTGAAAATTTGATAATATGTCACGATTATGATACGAGATATATGACCTTGATTTTAGAAGATTATGTCTCATATCAGAATTGTAACATATCACAAATGTCTTAATTCTCTGAAAATTTGTAATATGTAAACTAATATCTTATCTTATGTTATAATTTAAGATAAGTATAAGACAAGATAAGTATAAGTGGACAGTATAAATATCTGTGCAATTTGTTAAACTGTTTTTATATATTACAATAGAAAGCAAAGTTTAACATCTTTGGAAATGATTATCAATCCGCTTAATGTTGTTAGGCTTTTATTGATGTCAATAAATTCAATATATCTAACAGAAACGTCAGTAACTAAAGCAGAAATAGAATTCAAAGAAAACATACAAAAATTATTGCTGGATAGCATTTTTCATTATAATGGGGTGGAAGTAACGGAAGAAATATATCTCGATTATGAAGAACCTTATAAATTACATAGTTTTGAAATAATTGAAGTTGATGAAGAAGCATGGAGTGAAGATAATTTAAATTCTTATCCTTAATGTTCAAATGATGATGCAGATTTTGAAAGTTCTTAAAGAAAGTTCTAAAAGACAAGCTGTTGAATATTGGCGAAATTGGGACATTAATGAAAGAAATAATGACAAGAAAAAGAATCGTTTTCTAAAAGTAATGCAACATAAATTTAGAAGAGTTTCATCTGAACGTCAGTTAAGGCGATAGGAAGAACAATTACAATCAGGTGAAAGCCGTATAGAAAAATTATCTTACATCTCCAAATTTAGACATGATAAATTTAGTGCAGCTGTTGAATCAGAATTCATGGTTCATGATATTGATCTAAAAAGATGTGCTTTATAAGCTCAAAAAGAAATAGGAAATTTAAATCTTATATTTAAAACACCTCACAGTTGGATATCAAGATTCAAAAAAATTCCATCGAATTATTTCAAGAAAAGTTACAAAGTTTATTACTAGAAAAACATTGGAAGATTCCGTTAATTTGCAAAAAACAACTGATAATTTTCTGAAAACAGTGAAACCTCTTATTGAACAGTTTGGATTTGAAAATATTTATAATTCAGATCAAAGTGGTTTCCAATTGGAAATTCAGGTAAACCTGGATATTAGCGCCGATCTCACCGATTTCAATGACCTTGATATATGTTGTCAAGGACATGGCTCTGAGGAACTTGCAAAAAATTTTAGCTGTCGCTCGTTGCTTATTACAAAATTATTAACAATTGATAGTGATCGACCGATGCTTGTAACATAAAACTGCATATATTTCGGCATGAATACAAGCTCGCAACACTTTCCCATGCACACAAGAATTGTGGAGTAGATCTCGCTTCGCGTTGTAAAGTATATGTGTGGACACAAACCAAATTTTAGTTTTAAATCAGAAATAGGTTTGGGTTAGGTTATATCTTTCGGAAGTGGAGCCTCCCCGTAAGGGGGGGGGGCGGAACCCACTGCGTCCATGCATACACTTTCCCACCCACACAAGGATTGTGGGGTGGACCTCGCTTCGCGTTGTAAAGTATGCGTGGACGCAGTGGATTCCGCCCTCTCCCTCCTACGGGGGGAGGGGGGCGGTTCATTTCCAGAAGATATAACCTAACCCAAATCTATTTCTGATTTAAAATTAAAATTTGGTTTAATCCTAAAGTCCTTCCCCCGCCCATACAATTACTTAAATATACAATTAATAACTTAAATATACAACTAAATAGTTAAATATATAACGTTCATGCATGGAGAAGTTCAGATTATCGCATTTAATACGTGTTCTTATCATATCATTTAATTGTTAATAACTTTGTAATAAACAACGAGCGACGGCTAAAATTTTTTGCAAGTTACTCAGAGCCATGTCCTTGACAACATATGTCAAGTTCATTGAAATCGGAGGTCGGCGCTAATATTCAGGTTTACCGAAATTCATTCTAGAAGATCATTATCTAACCAAGGAGTAAAGACAATAGAACGTGTCGTGCAATCTATATCATCATTCATTTCACAACTCATTCATACACGATACAACCAATAATCCTGTAATGGCGATTTGCTGTCACCTTTATTTATTGTATTAAAAGATGGTAATGGTAGATTTGGACCAAGAATTGAAGAAAAAAACTTATTTAAACCAAGAAATGTTATTGTAAAAGCATCGAAATCTGTAAAATGACATCAGATATAAATTTCTTTTTATGACTATTTCATTTAACAATCTAAAAAGAGAAAAAAAGTTATTGAATTAACATTTATATTTTTTATAGATCATTTTAAAATGTGGTTAGAAGAAGCTTATTTTCCTAATATTTAATAGCGTTCTTCTTATCAATTCATGGACTGGATAATGCCCCAATATCATTTCGGATTTTACACCTCCAAGAAAACATATCACTACTATGATAATAAAAGGCACTACAGAGAAAATACAACCATTAGATGTTTATGGATTTAGAATTTGGAAAATTTTTCTAAAAGATTTTCAGATATTGTTTTACTATTGGAAAGTAATATAAATTTGCATGAACGAAATAATATAATAAAATTGCAATTTCTGATACATAATCAATTGTCATCCCCATGATATTAGAGTCCTTATAGTAAGAGTCTGGA